GTATCGTGTGTCGAACGGAGTCGAGGCAAGCGTAATCTTTGTCGACTTGATTTTGACATTCTATCGACAGCTTAATTTGCAGAACACCGAACTTTTTTTAACCCCTCGTAAAAAATAAAATCCTTTCAAACAGTCTTGATTGTCGATCGATTCTCTTCATCATCATTTCCTTTCGTTAATAACTCGGCTACGAAAACGTTTAATGTCGTTTTTGTCGTAGGATTAGATGCTAGATTGTTGCTTCTTTCATCGAACTGTGAGTCAAAAATATCTGTAAGTATCTTAACATAGCCGTTTATTTACCTCCAAAGAAGGGAGTATTGGATAAATAGTTAGGCCGCTGCCATAGTGAGAGCGAAGAGAAGCGAAGCGTTGAAACGAATGTAAGGAATAATATCATTAATGAAAATTCCCAATATTGATATTATTCCTTACATTTGTATCAACGCTTCGGTCGCCTATTCGCTGTCGTTATGGTATCGGCCTTAGTTTTTAATTACTCAATCAAATCAAAAGAACATCTGAATATCAAATGTAAAAGGACGAGTAGTTGGGAAAAATAGTATTATATATAATGAAGGCATATGTTAATGTTGTGAGTTGCTTAGAAGTGATGGTAAAGTAATGACTGGTAAACGGCTGGAAAATGCGCACCATTGATACTTCGCGTATCTGCAGGTATAAAATAGACCCCACTAGCGGTCCTTAGCCTCTTGTCCAGTAACTCCTATCCCTACCTCCCCGCGGTGCCGGCTGGGGTACGAGTAACCATAGGGAAGATCGAGTAACCAACCCCGGTGGGACCTTGGTCGTATGTCGACAGGGAAGGGGAGAACTCCTCTCTCCGGAGAGTACAGTCTTCGAGCGTCTGTTCACCATGGAGGTGTGGCTCAAAACGGCGTCTATTTTCCATGTTAGGAGCGGCTGATCAACGTCCTGCTACCAGCGTGGGACTCTAAACAGTGCTCTGCACGATGGTCCCCCGACGAGACAATGGGTTCTTTTTTTTTTTTTTTGGAGAGAAACTTCTTGTAGAAAAACAAAATCAATGTCATAGTTCCACACAAAATCTTTGAGCATGTTAATCTTGATTCTTGAGCTGATGGCATTAATGTTTAAAGTAGCTAAAATCCTAGAAAACATTTTTGGTTCATTAAAAAGAGATGAACTTTTAAATTGTATACAGGTAGGAGGAAATGATCATATCTTACTGCTTGTTTTTCTTATTCCTTGGCAGTCTACTCACGAATTGCGGTGTCTGTTTATTTCCTTTCGCCTTACCATGTTTCATTTTTTGCTGGCTGTATCTTCGGTTGATACCTCCTCGCTTTCTGAACTCTCCGTAACCATGGCTCCAGGACGCTTGATTGTAGCACATCGTTGTTGCTCGCTTACTTCATCTTCCATTGCAGTCGTGGTTTCACACGCATCACCACCAGAAGTACTTGTTGGTGTGCCCGTTGTAGCACCGCTACTATCCTTCGGAACCGTTCCCGTTGTCGAGACTGTTGATGTCGCTCCTTTCTGAGATCCGGCGTTCTGCACGTTTGGATCAGGTTTACTCTCAGTGTTCTTCCTTAGAACCGTCATTTGTGGAGTAACTGGTGCACTGTTGTCAATTACTGGTTTATTCGGTCTGCCCAGGGGAAAACCACTGCCCCCGGCAGGGCTGGTTTTGACTCCGCTGCTCCCGGAAAGGCTAGACTTGACCTCACTAACGCCGGCAAAACTGGGCTTCACCCCGGTGTCACCGGCAGAATTGGGTTTAACCCCGCTGCCTGACGGCTTCGGCGACTGCGGTGAACCGCCACCTCCAGAGTGGTTCGGTTTACCTCCACTTCCTGAAGGTATCGCCACCAGCTTGGGGCAATCCGACTTCATATGTTCTTCTACTTTGCAGAAAAAACATCGACCTTTCAAACCTTCATAAAAAACTCGAGCACGAAAATGCCCGATGTAGATGTTGGCAGGAATTTCCTTCGAAACCTCCATATGGACGCCTCGAATTCCAGTGAAAATGTTCACTTTCATTTCACTTGGGAACCTCTCTCGCACGTGCTGTCGGATTGTTCCGTATTGACCCAGTACATACTGGATCTCCCGATCCTCGATTTCTGGTGGTAAGTTGAAAATGCGAACGTACCTGAAAATCCGTGATGCTTGGTCCACTTGGACCCTTGCTGTTCCTCCATCTTCGTACTGGAAGTTGTACAATTCATGTGCTTCGGAAATGAACGCAGAGAACGTGTGATCGTCGATTAGTTTGATGTAGAATTGTCCGCCATTTTTATCTTTGTAGATTGTGTGAATGTCAGTCGCCGAAAGTTTCAAAACGTCCATAGAAAACTTGAGTACATCCAGGTACGATGGTATTTTGCTGTCCGGTCCAAAAATCAACTTTACTGTGTTCTTTCTAACGCTGTTTGCCATTTTTACTCTTCTTATACAGAAAGATTCCGCTTATACAAAAGACAAAAAAAAAAAGTGAAAACAATAGCCACAGAGGACTATTGTTTTAAAACACTCTATACTTCACGATCAACTCTAGTATACGTCTGAGCAGAACGAGCTCTTGTCCGCGAATGGAGTTGGTGCAGGCCCTACAAGCCAACCGTAAAAAAATAAAAGTACAGGAAACAAGCCATGTAAATACGGACCGGAACAATCGGCATAGACCCAAGCAACGGAAATGGACTAACGATTGGAAACCCGGAACATGGAACTGCAAGTCTCTCAATTTCTTGGGAAGTACCCGCATTCTTTCCGATTTATTGAGGGTCCGCAAGTTCGACATCGTAGCGCTGCAGGAGGTTTGTTGGAAGGGATCGTCGGTACATACGTATAGGGATGGTTATACCATCTACCAGAGCTGCGGCAATACACATGAGTTGGGTACAGCTTTCATCGTGATGGGCGAAATGCAGAAACGCGTGATTGGGTGGTGGCTTTTCGATAGCAGAATGTGCGAGTTGAGGATCAAAGGTCGTTTCCTCAATGTCAGCATAATCAACGTGCACAGCCCTCACTTAGCAAGTGACGATGACGATAAAGACGCTTTTTACGTTAAAATCGTCATTGGTGATCTTAACGCTCAGGTCGGTCAGGAGGAGGAATTCAGACTGGTTATAGGAAGCCACACGCAGTACCTATTTCCAGCATAGCCTCCCATATCGGTACACCTAGAGATCACCGCAGCAGACAGAATCGCAAATCGACCACGTTTTGAACGACGGAAGGCACTTCTCGGACATTATCGACGTCAGGACCTATCGCGGCGCAAATATCGATTCGGACCACTACTTTCTAATGGTCAAGGTGCGCCAAAAACTTTCCGTTGCCAACAACATTCGGTACCGACGCCCGCCACGGTACAATCTGGAGAGACTGAAGCTACCCGAAGTCGCAACTGAGTACGTGCCATACCTCGACGCACCGTTGCCTGATTGGTTGGAGCAACGTGAAAGCAGTTATTAACAGCGCTGCTGAAGGCGCCGTTGGGTTCGTGGAGCTGACTCGACGGAACGATTGGTTCGACGAAGAGTGTCAGACGGTTTTGGACGAGAAGAACGCAGCGCGGGCGGCGATGCTGCAGCAAGGAACCCGTCAAAATGTTGAGCGATATAAACAGAAGCGAAGACAGCAAACCCATCTTTTCCGGGATAAGAAGCGCCGCCTGGAAGAGCTGGAGTGCGAAGAAATGGAGCAGCTGTATCGTTCTCAAGAACGTAAGTTCTACAAGAAACTCAACGCATCCCATCAAGGCTTTGTGCCGCGATCCGAAATGTGTCGGGATAACGAAGGGGGTATCTTAACGGACGAACGTGAGGTGATTGAAAGGTGGGAACAGTACTACGATGAACATCTGAATGGCGCAGAGGCGGAGGACCTAGGCGGCACGAGGAATGGCTTCGTTGGTACAGCGGTTTAGGGGGAACTGCCAGCTCCCACGATAGGTGAAGTTAATGATGCTATCCGACAGCTTAAGAAGAACAAAGTAGCTGGGAAGGATGGTATCGGAGCGGAACTTATCAAAATGGGCCCGGATAAGTTGGCCACTTGTCTGCACCGACTGATAGTCAGGATCTGGGATACAGAACAGCTACCTGAGGAGTGGAAAGAGGGAGTAATATGCTCAGTATAATAAAAAAAGGCGACAAAATAGAATGTGAGAACTATCGAGCGATCACTATTCATAACGTGGCTTACAAAGTGCTTTCCCAGATCATCTTTCGCCGTTTATCGCCGCTAGCAAGCAGATTTGTGGGAAGTTATCAAGCCGGTTTTGTGGACGGGCGATCGACACCGGACCAAATCTTTACGTGGGGTGAGCTACCAGTTACGCCAAACCGATGATCAAATGCATTGTTTACAAAAGCTGATACATCCCTTCGAAAAAGTTATCGAGAATTAGCAATTAATTAATTAGGAAGTATTTTCTGACATACTCCAACGAAAACGACATAAATTTTCGATTTCAAGAATCATGACCCCTGCCCCTTAGCTTATCCCATCTGTACACACCCCTGCAAAACAACGCGCAACCCGAAGGGGAAATGCTTTTTTCCAGCCAATTATTTCACTACTGTTGTTTGGCTCGGCGCAGTAGATTCATGTGCGTGCGGTATCATCTTTTCGAGTCGCCGTCGACACCGATCGCACAGCGAATTTGATCCATCTCTAAGCCTTTTAAGGAGTTATGAAATATTGCTCTTAATTGGGATCACTACAGTGGGCATCGCGCAATCCTCCCGCAAAATTTTAGCAGTGGACTACCTATTTTATGCCATTTGTAATTGAATACCAACTGTTTGTAACTGAAATGATATAATCTCAAATTGAGCAACACTGGCCTCAATGAATCACCCACTCAAGAATCAGACTCCCAAAGAAGTAGTCTTTCTCGGTTTCCGGCAAGCTATCTTCCACCCTCGACCGTGTGCCTAGGTGTTTTTGCTCAAGGCTAATACATATTCTAGCTTTTTCTACTGCCATCAACCTACCTGAACTGATCAATGAAATGATCGGTGGGGTTTGCTTCTAGATCGGCTTTTGTGTCGCTCTTTCAACTCGGAATCCTTTCCTCGATGGGACTCTGCTTCCGGAAAGATTTGTTTTTTGTTCTATCCACTTGGTGTTTACATCAAACCGAACCGAGTGACTGATGAAGGGTAGGTGGTAGGTATCCAAACTAGGAGGCAACGGAATCGTCGACGTCGTCGTCAAGGAAATGATTTTTTTCTTTTCATCCAAACACGAAAATGACACCTTCACGAATTAGCAATTTCGTAAATCATAGCACAGTGCACTGAAAAATTACACTTTCCATTGGACTTTTCCGTTGTCAAATCAAACTTCTTTTTCGCTGCTGATATTCCGCAGACAAGACACTTTCAACTCCTCTTCCCTTTTTTCAACAAACCACTATTTTCAGCTCCTCGCCTTGGAAACCACTCGTCGTCGTTGCCTGCTAGGGTCGAAAAAGAAAACTTTGACGAAAAACCGAAATGAAACTCAACAATCAACACTTTCTATCTATCCTCTTCGAATGCGAACGAAATTTTTCTCCCGTTCAATGCCCCAGGGCGTAGAATTTTTCCTTTTCTGTCAAACTCGCAGTTGCTTCCACCATTGAAGACGATAAATTTTCACCTCCTCTTCCCTGTACACACTCTTGACAGACAGTGCCGAGACTACGATGGCCACTTTCGGGACTGTTGGCTGGTTTCGCAATCGATGGGGTTGGTTGACAAAAGCACAGGAAATGTCACGCACAGAATTTCCGATTCTCTTCCCTTCCTTCCGGGGGGAGAGACGAATTTCTACCCAATTCGGGCACTCGATCGATTACGACAGCACAGCACAAAATACATTCACCTCCACGGATTGTGCACGGTAGATAATCGCCAAACACCGAATTATTCTTCGTTTCCGTCCGGGTTCCGAATCGATCACTAAAAACGAAAAAAAAAAATCTACCTTCTAGACACCAGCAGCACTAAATTCTCACTTTTGCTTCCTTTCTTCCACTAATAACTAGTACTGACTCCGAGTGTCGGATTGAAAACAAAAAGAATAACTAGCACGCAGAAGAGGCACGGAGCACTGTGGACTGCGAGAATACGAACGACTCTTGAGACTTGAAAAGCTACTACTACGTGAATCTCATTGCACTTAACGCACTACTACTGGCGAGCGTTGAATTAGTGTACGGGTTTGTTTTACACGTTTTACACCAATCACACTTCACCAGACAATTTTCCGCAAAGTAGTAGTGGTAACTTGCGATGGAAAAACTTTTTGATTTTGACAAACAGGCTCACAAACAGGTGACAGTTCTCTGCTGCGAAGACTGCGAACGACGAAAAACGCCCAACGCCGGTCTATCACAAATGCTCATTAATGTCATTGATAAACTAAGTCAGCCCAGAGAGCTTGATGAATTTGATACCAAGTTTAAGAAAATGCATGGAATAAAGGTGGGAAACTGAAACATAAAAAATTTTGAAGAGAGTAAAGAGGTAAAGAGGTGACATCTTATCCATTTTACAGGTGTTCTGCACTGCAACTGCCATGTACCCATTAATGGGTAAAAAAGGACCCATTTTTGATGACTATATGAGGCTGTCAAATAATGGGTGAAGTTCAATTTCAAATAATGGGTACTCTTTTACCCATTTCTCAGAGCGCTTCGGGCGAGAATAATGAGTACTTTTTTACTCATTAATGGGTGAAAAGCAACTTAGATAACATCTTCCAGTCCTCGCTTCAGTCGCAAAGTGTCTTAACGATGTCGAATGGAAATTGCTCGTTTGAAAAGTAGGTATTTCTTATTTTATTTCTTTCTGCCCACATCTAAACATCAATCTGAAACTTGCAGGGACAGAACTAGCCGGATCAGCAAGGAGATCCCAGGAGAGCTTTTTGAGCACCATTTCTTGCACGAACGATGGAAAGACCACTGGATGGAAAATGGTGAAATAAAGATATAAATATAAATAACGTTTTGTATTCTTAACTATTCATTGTGGCTCTTTCAATGATCCATAAATCATACAAATTCTAAAAGAAAAATCCTGGTTTAAGGATTTCAAAATTGGGTACTTTGTACCCATTTTATAAAGCCAATTATTATTTAAAAATGGGTAAAAAAGTACCCCATGATTTGACGTACAAGGTCTTTACCCATTAATGGGTAAAGACGTTTTACCCATTAAATGAGTTTACCTACTTTACTTCGAAATGGGCACTTTTTCACCCATTAATGGGTACTTTCCAGTTACAGTGTGCTCGATTGGAATAACTTTACCTATGACTATGACAGATAATCGATTGTTCCAAGTATGACATTTCGTCTCATTATAAATTCAGCCTATTTAGTAGAGAGCAGTGCCTGAAACAAAATTGTTGGTTGCAACTAAAACCGGTGGTGTATAGAAATACTCAGAGGGAGAGATAAGCGGAGAGAATGTTTTAAGCCAAATGAACTGTCCGAATCTGAGCCAATCGAACATTCCCATTAGAATTATTCCGATGATTTCTTATTCTTACTAGATTAAATTTTAGAGTATTGCAATCGAACAGAATTCCAATCACCTTTATGTTTCGTGTGCTTCTAAAATTCAACTAGTTTTTGGAGTCAAAAACAATATTCTAGCTCTATTGATTAATTGATCTTATGCCTTGTTCAGACTACAGAGTTATAACATGTTATAGCGCAATCTTGATGGTGTTGCTGTGTTGCAATTATTTGACAACCGTTATAACATGTTATAACTCTCCAGTCTGGACAGCGTTTAACAGTACGTTCAGACTACAGAGTTATAACAACAATCAATACGAAACTAACGATTTTAAATTGGCTCACTACTTGACTAGCCTATCGGTCCCAAGCAAACGATTGACGTACCCCTTCTAGTCGAAATTCTAGTACTATGCAATGTTTGTTTTGATTCGCTATGAAAGTTTGACAGATAAAATGAGGGGTTATTGGTTTTTCCTATGTTTCGAGGGGTGAATCGATTAGCTTGAGACCGAAGAGAGTACCAGAGCTGTGCCAAAAAGTTGAGCACGTTATTTCTGGACCTTCTAGTCTTAGAGTTACCTCTATGGTTTAACCATAGAGGTAACTCTAAGACCACTGGGTCCCGAAGAAAAGCATTATTATTTTTGGCTCACTCAGTACCAGAACAACGGTCCCAAGCAGTCCCAAGCTATTTCACTCACCCCTGCATGTTCTGCATGAATCCACACACCCCTGATGTTATCTGTCAAACTTTCATAGCGAATCAAAACAAACATAGTGTAGTAATAGAATTTCAACTAGAATAGGGTACGTTAATCGTTTGCTTGGGACCAATAGGCTACTAAAGGGGTGAGCCAATTTAAAATCGTTAGTTTCGTATTGATTGTTGGTTTAACTCTGTGCTGGGGTCGCCCAATTTTCAATGAAATTGGGTTCTTTAATTTTGAAAAATGTATTGTTTTTTATACATCATCCGAAAGAGCTTCGTTTTCTGAGCACAGCTATATTTTTTTCGAACCCACACACTTTCATCTCGATTTTTAAATTAAGATTTAAAGCAAAATAATAACTTCACTGTTTGACACTAAACTTACTAACTGACAGCTCGCTCCCGTACAAAGTGACACCGAGGGGCGCTAATAAGGTGATTTTTGCAAATGTAATCGTACTTATATAAAATAGTTCCAGTGTACCCAAATTGATAAAATTTTGGGTTTGGGTTCCATTTTTAATGCAGATTACGAATATGTGTTTACCTCAATACCCTTAAAGAACCCAATTGAGCGCGTCTACTTTTATATTCATCTTGTCTAAATACATATGTTTCTTTCGTCTGAAGTCAAGTCCATTGGGATCAGACATAGAAATTTTTGGGCAATTTTATTTTTGACAGTTCGCATGACAGTTCTAAGCTCACATTTTTCGGTAAAGTTCGGGTTTGACCAACCACAGACTGTTTCGTTCATTTCAATTTCACCGATCGCTGAAGTTGGTAGCGTTTTGGAAGTTTATCGAAATTTGCAGTGATCATTATAATTAAACTACAAAAATGTAGTAAACCTTCTTTAAAACACTCTAATCAATCGATTAGATGTGTTTGTGGCTCATCAGAAATCTGAAATTGTATGAGTTCAGCGAATAGAGTTTGTACCATTTAATGGTACTTCCGGTAAATGTGGTAAGTTATAATATATTTTTTGTTAATGAAATATACTGAAAAATTCTTTATGATGATCAAAAATACCTAAAATTTGTATGAATAATCCTTGATTTGACACTCATGCACCATTCTGATGCCACTTCCGGTGGCTTACATGCTAACATCTGCAACAACGCGCATTTCGAGGTTATGAACTAATCGTGCTTTCTTTTCATTGCAGACGAGGACATTTTTCAGCGGTAGAATGCGGTTCTAAGGATGCTGTAACTCTTGCAGCAGGTAAGGATTCATTAGTTTTTTTTTGTTATCTTAATGAACATTGGATGATGATAAAACTCCATATTAGTATGAAAAATCATGATTCTAAAAAATGCACCACTATCTGAAGCATTTGCAATGAGGGTTAAACATTGAAGTTTATTGTAAATCGACTAACCATTGTTTCTTTTTCAGGATCAACGCAAGATGGAGCCGTCAATACGGTCATATACAATTATTCAGGTAAATTTTATTCCATGCATGAGAATTTAAATCAGAATTCAGTTTTAAATGATGATAGAAATCCTTTACAATTATATGAAATCAATGATTCAACAACGATGCACCACTATCTGATGCTCCTTCATACAATTGATAATGCCGGTAAAAATTTAATTTCACTTGTATCTAATCAGTCGATTTTACTCTCTGTTAGGTGACTGAACATCGATAGGTTGACTCATGAAGCAACGGCATAATGGCAGGTAATTATCGTCTCTTGATATTGAATTTAGAATAGGTAGCACGATGATGATAAAATCCTTTTTAATTCTATGAAAATCTATGATTCAACAATTTTATGCACCACTATCTGAAGCTTAATGCCTATTCTGCTATCAATGTTTTATGTTACTACGTTAACTACAGCGGCAGTCCTTAATCTTGATTTTTCCGTTCTATTTGCAGATATTCATCACGCGTGCATCTATGTCATTTTTGAGATTGAATAAAGAAACTACCTTTTAATCGTTATTTAAATGGCACATTTATTATGTATGATCAACAACTTTGAACCAAGAAATAATCACAAAGGTTCTATTCCGAAAAATAATTCTCCTCCTCCAACTCGTTTGGCATGTACTTCAACCCGGATTCGCCCTTGTTCAGTAGATTATATCCCGCCCCGTAGTTGAGATTTTTCATCAGTTTGGTGGTAGCGTTTCTCAAATGCAATGGTACTCCCGGCATTGGGCCCTTGTAGTTCTCGATTGACGCTTTGCACCGATTGAAAGCATTGTAGACCTCTCGACTTTTGGGCGCTCGAGCCAGATAGACAGCACATTGCGCTATGATACAGTCCGTCTCTGGCATTCCGACAGCTTGCACAGCCGCCAGAGTAGAAGTAGCCACCGTAAGGGCGTTAGTATCGGCTAGGCCTATATCTTCACTGGCCATTCGGATCATCCGCCGAACCAGATAACGAGGATCTTCCCCGGAAACCAGCATCCGAGAGCACCAGTAGAGAGCGGCGTTGTCATCCGAGGCGCGAATCGATTTGTGCAGCGCCGAGATCAGCTCATAGTGTTGGTCCCCTTTGCGATCGTACAGCAGATGGGATTTCTAGAAGGAAGACGCTATTAGAATGCTATATAATAGACAACAGCACATGACTGGTAACTCACCTTGATGCCTTCTTTAATTTCATCCAGTGAAATCAATTTCAATGCCGATCCTTCCTCTTCCTGTCGGGCTGCAACCGTATTCAAAGCCAATTGAAGACTGTTCAGCCCGATCCGAGCGTCTCCATCGCAAACTTCCGCCAGCCATCGGATACTTTCCGAACTGATCATCATTCTGAAACACAAAGCGAATCGTAAGAGCATTAATTTACTTTTCTCACCCCATCTCATACTGTGGAATAAAAGGCATCTTGTTGATATCCGGGGCTCGATTGTTATTCTCAAACATCAATGTGTGGTGATGCGGTAGAGCCCTCTCCAGAATCTTCATCACCGCTTCGACGCTCAACTTTTCCAGTACAACGACCCGACAGCGACTCAGCAGAGCCGAGTTCAAACTGAACGAAGGATTCTCGGTTGTTGCTCCAACCAGCGTAATGATTCCACTTTCCACGTGCGGCAAAAAGATATCCTGCTGCAGTTTGTTGAACCGATGAATCTCATCCATGAACAAAATGGTCCTCCGTTTAAATTTGATCTCATTCTTGGCCACTTTTACTGCCTCTTTGACCTCATTTACGCCACTCATCGTAGCCGATAGTTTTACGAAGCGCATATTCTCATTATTCTTGCAGTGAGCCGCAATGATGTGGGCCAAAGTCGTTTTCCCGCATCCAGGTGGTCCCCAGAGGATCATACTCGGAATGGTATTCTTCTCGAACAGAGTCCTTAAAACCGTATTCTTCCCAATGATGTGCTCTTGACCAATGTAATCAACCAGCTCGCTGGGTCTCATCTTTTCCGCCAACGGAACATTCTCATCGCCTTTCTCATCCTTCGACTTACTTGCTTTGCTCATGGTACTCGTCTTGACCCGTATATCTTCCTCTTTCTCCTCTTCCGACAAATCGATTACCAACTTCTCTATTTCCTCAACGCTCAAATGATCTCCATTTTCCACATCGTTGCTCCTGGTCGTCCTTTTAGCCCTCTTGGGAGTCATAATCGGAGATTTTCCGAAAATACTGTAGGTCCGCTTCGATTCCCTTGGCTTTTTCTCTTCCGTTTTATCATTCGTGGTCGTGGATGCAGTGGCAGCAGCCTCCACCACCTCATTCGGATCGGTTGAATTCAAAAGCAAACACCGATCCACGTGAGTTTCGATATCTGCCATCGGAAACATCTTGTCGCACACCGGACAAACGGATCTGATGCAGGACGAAGACGGTACCGGTTCGTCACTCATTTTGTGGATAGGAATGATGCGGAATGCGGATTATTTCTTGAAAACCACTTGAAAACGTAAGCCAACAACCATGATTTAACTGGAAAATATTGCGTCTTTGTTTACAAACTGATTGCGCGCTGTCAGCTTGTGCGGGAAGAAAGTTTTTAATGGAAGAAATGAAAGCAAGAGTGAATTTTCAGAAAAGCTTATCTGCTTTTGAATACAAACATTCAAACGTCAAAAATCTTAGCTCACTCACGCAAACTAACACCACCATTATATTGAGCAAAGGCTACCCTACCTGATGATGCTGTTGGTTTGCGAGAGCGAGGTAAGAGTTTTGACAAATTTACGATTGAATGTTTGATTACAAAAGCAGATAAGTCTTTTTGAAAACTCATTCTTGAAAAAAAGAGCTCGCTAATGGCCTGCCAAAAAGTGAGCCAAAGCATTCGGGCGGGAAAAAATCCAGGGACTAGGAACGAAAATGTATCATTTACAGAACAGGGTGACCATGGTGATGCCGATGTGATCGGCAATAAAAAATTGCCACAAATTATTAAAATAATTAGTGAATTTTGAATTACTCAGTAATTTCAACTGCTTGGACAATAATTTGGTAATTTTAAAAATAAAAAATAAACAGTAATTTGGTAATTCTATAAATATATGTACTCTGGAATTATTATATTCCTTATTATTCTAAGTATTTTTTTTATGATTTTATTGCTTCGGGTACACACTTAATCTAGCTCGGTAAAATCTCCAAGAGTCGATTACCTCGGAATTTACTTTTCCTGATATATCAACAAAATATCTATTTGTTAGCTGATATCTCAGCAAAATGTTATTTGTTAGCTGAGTCTCGGCAATTGTTTTACTAAATCTCAGCAAACTAAATTCCAGAATCACTCGGCTGTTGGAATCGCGGCGAAAAAAAAACTAAGTGTGTGTACTTTGTTATTAAATAAGTGGAAATCGAATAATTAAGATATTAAAAAATGAAAAACTGAAAAAAAACATTAGGGGCCACGTTATGCAACCCTCAATGCAACCAAATAAAAGCGAGTTTTTCGTATTTAAGCCTAGTATACAGATCGAGGCGAAACAAAATTTGAAGCACGCGAAAAATTATGAAAATTCGCTAGCGAAAAAGGTTGTGAAAAAATGTTTGTGGAACATTTTCCAGCTTCTTTTTTTTTTTCGCAGTTTACAGTTCATGTGAAACGAAATCGATCAGTTTACACCACCGGTAAAGTGAAAATCTGACAGATACGCTCTTTCTCGAAACGTCAACTTTTCGCTTAGCTACTGCTCTTTTCGCTAGCGCTGCATGCGCGAAAAAAAATAAATAAACGTAAGCGAAAAAGATGCGATCCACAAAATAAGATTTCGCTGGATCGTATCTGTTTACAGTTCAGGCGAAGTGAAAAATTTGTCAATTGCCTTTTTCACGCAGGTGAAAAATTTAGTATTTTGTATGAGATTTTCGCTTCGCTTCGATCTCTATACAGGCCTTTAGGGGCAATACATTTATTATGTCACGCGTAATTGAGGAAAAATTAACCCTCCTCCCCCGTTAGTTACGTTTTTCCTATACCTAATGCATTGCTTGTTACAAAATCATAAACCCCTCCTCCCCCTCTTCATCAACCCCTTATACCCTGGACCGACTATGGCTTATATCATGTAATATAGGTTGTCTTGAAATGAGCACTCATACATAGGATTTCCAGTGAAAACTAGATGTATGAGTGCTCATTGCAAGACAGCCTATATTACATGATATAAGCAACAATCAATACGGAACTAATGATTTTAAATTGGCTCACCACTTTAGTAGCCTATTGGTCCCAAGCAAACGATTAACGTACCCTATTCTTGTTGAAATTCTATATTTTAACCCTATATTTTATTTATTTATTTACATCAACAGGCTGGATGAAGCCCCAATGATTTAAACCTTATCAACTATGGTAAAAAAAAAATACATTCAAGCATGGTCATAACATAAAAAAAACATTAAAAAACGTATATCTTATAGTCAATATCTTAACTCCTGCCGGCGAAAAACAGAAGAAAACTTTCGACGAAGCGCATCACGGGAGAGATGAAAGTCGAAAACAGATGCAACTCTGTTGAATGTTCTCTGCAGTCCGCAAATCGCACCGTATGCTCCATAATTTGTGCGACGTAGAGGCAGTCTTAGCATAAGGTTATTACGAAACGGTCGGGGTTGAACATTCAGGTCAATTTGCCTCAGGATAGCCTCACAATCTGTCCTTCCTTGTAGGATATCGGCCACGGTAAGGGCTCTGTTTGTGTCTCTTCTAGTCCGGAGAAGTTCTAGGTCGATAAGTTGACAACGGCTTTCGTAACTGGTTAATCGAAACGGATCGTTCCAAGGCAATCTACGCAACGCAAAACGAAGAAAGCGACGTGGAACAGATTCAATTCTCTCGGCACCGTTGTTGTAATTTGGGTTCCAAACCGCTGAACAATACTCAAGCGTCGATCAAACAAGCGAACAATAGTGAGATTTTAGACAGTAGATATCAGTGAAGTTTTTAGCTATCCTAAAAATGAACCCTAAAGTTCTTGACGCCTTATCAACAACATATGCAATGTGTTGCTTGAAAGAAAGCTGCGAATCCAAGATCACACCCAAGTCTTTCACCTGATTCACGCGTTCGATTGTCGAGCCAAGCAGGTCATAGCTAAATATTATCGGTTGTTGTTTTCGTGAGAACGTAATAGCGGAGCATTTGGCTGGGTTCACTACCATTCTGTTTAACCTGCACCAACTAGCGAATACATTCAGTTGACGTTGAAGAAAGTGACAATCAGCAATGGAGCAGATTCGTAGGAAGATTTTGAGGTCATCTGCATATGATAACCGAGGAGCTTCGATGACCAGATGCACGTCGTTGAAGTACAGTATAAAAATTAACGGTCCCATGTGGCTTCCCTGAGGTATACCTGATGTGGCGAAGAAGCTAGCTGATCTGCAATCTCCTATGGCAACTTTTAGTTGCCGACCGGTAAGATATGATCGAAACCAACTCAGAAGATTACCGCATACACCGAGCCTGCCGAGTTTAGCAATCGCAATAGCATGGTTCAACTTGTCGAATGCTGCGGATAGGTCTGAATAAATAACGTCCGTTTGAACCCGATCCAACATGCTTTCGGTTATATACGATGTGAGACACAGCAGATTGGTAGTTGTAGAGCGGCCGACAGTAAACCCATGTTGATCAGCACTCAAATACTGCTTGCAATGGGACAGCAACGGTTCCATAATCACTAGCTCGAATAGCTTCGAAACGGCACTTAACGATGTAATTCCTCGATAGTTATCCACAGCTCGTTTCCTTCCTTTTTTGTGGACGGGAAACATGTGCGCAAATTTCCAGCAAGATGGAAATATGCCACCTGAGAGAGACATTCGGAACAGGCGAAGAAGCGGAATTAACAAGCTAGCTATATGTCTCTTCAAAAATACAGATGGAACTCCATCAGGTCCAGGATTGAAGGATGACTTGAGCAGAGTCGCGGCCTTAGAAATCATTTCTGCATTAACATCAATTGCACCCAGCGTTTGATCGTTTACTGGAACGTTCCTGGCAGCCAGGTTAATATGGTCGTCAGTTAGTGTCTCATTAGTGAATACACTGGAAAACTTTTCGGAAAAAAAGGTGGCATATATCCTGAACAGTGGCAGCAACTTCTCCGTTGAATTCCATAGACGATGGGAGGCCGGATTCCCTGCGTTGCTCGTTCACGTAGTTCCAAAAGGATTTCGGGTGTAGCTTAAGTTTGCGCTGGATGCCTCGTTGGAAACTTGAAAAGCATTCACGACTGACTCGCTGGTACATGTGATTCAGCCTCACATAATGTAGTTTCAGAGGAAGCGTGCGATACTTCGTAAATCTTCTCAATGCTGCTCTCTTGATTGACTTCAACCTACGTAGCTCTCTCGTTTGCCAGGGAGGGTGAGACACTTTGTGGTGAGTTCTTTTCGGGACGTGTCTGTCAATGGCATATGCCAAGACATGTGAAAAGGTTTGCGCTGCAGCCTCAACGTCATCTGGATCAAGGATGTTCTCCCATACCATGCTAGACAATACATCTATGATGCTACGGTGGTCAGCTTTACGGAAGACATAAGAAACCGTAGCAGTATAGTCGCCAAAATCACGCACGAGTTTGTCCTCAACAGTGACAATTAGAGGAGGGTGATGTGGAACTAGCTTAGTTAGTGCACAAGGAGCCGAGGAAATTGATGGAGCCCTGTCCTGTGTGCTCACGAAGCAGAGGTCCAAACTACGACCATTTTCATTAACTACATGGTTAATTTGAGAAAGCGTCGCTGCGCTGTAGTTGTCGAGAAGGCTAATAGCTCCTGCGTGAAATGTAGAGCTATCAGGATCTGGATACAGGAATCCGCTATGAGATGGACTCCACGAAACGCCTGGCAGATTGAAGTCACCAAAAATGAATATCTCATCAACTGGAGTGGAACTTTCGACAACTGTGAAAACTGACCGACAGTGAGTATCGATGAGTTCATTGTCGCGGACTCGATCAGGTGGAATGTACAGAGCGCATAGAAATAGTGTGCGATCACCCAGATTGATGGCTGTCCAAACCTGCTCCACATTGTTCCATGAATCGTTCTCGATGGCCTTTGCCTCCAACCCGCTACGGACAGCTACAAGGACACCTCCACCAGTAGATTTACGGCTGTTGTTAGGATTCCGATCGCAACGAAAGACCTCGTAGTCAGGACCGAAGACTTGACTGGAAAGCGTTCGATAATCGAGCCACGTTTCGCACAGGACAATAATATCGTAGCAACGATCCGATACAGCTAGGCGGTATTCTTCAACATCAGAATTCATTCCACCGGCGTTTTGGTAGAAGATCACGACGTCCTGCTTGCGGCAAGGAATCGAACGACTGCTCTCCCTGGAAATCACAGATACATCAGGCAATAACTGACCATCATCAAGTCTCATTGGATACTCGCCATAGTGAGTGGGTTGGAAGACCCCCTCTCCGCATCCGACAGCAGGTCCGCAACGACTATGATGAACGAAG